TGCTCCTGCAATAAAGCAAGCTGTATCAGCCCATCTGTTCCTAGAGGAAACTAACTGATTATGGAAAACAATCGAGGCAAACCCCTTTAATGCAATTACTTACAAGAGTTGCAAGACACAGCGAGTAAAAGGCACAGTGGCACAAAGCGCTGGAATTCATCTTCCGAAGCAAGTCAAGTGTCAGACTTCACTTCCTCAGCCTCCTTTAGCATCTTTTACCTTCCCTTCATCTTCCCTTTCTCCTATCAGTGCCTGGTCTGAAGCATTTATCTTTTTGCACAGAAGTGACGTAACAGTACAACGAAGTGGAAACTAAATATTAACAACTCTCTAGGCAGTGAGCGACTGGCTTCCCACCTTCTTGACCTTGCTGCACATTCCTAGATAGCGAACGATGAACAGCGCGTTGGAGATTAGAGTAACGAGATCCCTTCTGGGGAGCCTGCCTCAGAGACATCAAATGATTAGAGTCAGGATTAACAGACCTACTAATGTTGATCATGTCACTTTTAAAGCAACATCGGATGTTGGAGACCAGCAACGCCTGTGAATGCATTAAAATCAATTCATTCGAACACAGCACGCATCTCATGCTTGTTTTCCTGTTTAAAAATGCTGTGTGTGTTTGCAGGTGTGTGAAGATAAGAGGGTATTATTACATTTTTCAACGCATGGCCAAGATTTGCTCTCAGACACAGCGGCTCCTGGCAGAGTGCATGCTGTATGAGCATCGGAAAACAAAATTCAGTCCAAGTTATGTACCGTGTAAAGAAGCACGTGCGTGAATACACGTTACGCCCCATCTCCTCCCCCCTGTTAGAAGAACATTAAAGCTGCCAAGTGTAGGACCTCCAGATGGGAAAACTGGAATTGACTTAGTCTCTGCCGCTATTCACCCAGCTGCCTGTGCCCAGTTCAACTTATGCCTCTGTGTTCCCATCCTCCCCATGGCTCCTCACTCCTGCACCTCCAACACCCTCCCTGACCCACAGCTCCCCCATCTCCCCCAGCTTCCCTGCTTTTGGTGTCCTCCTGCTCCTCTCCACAGCCCAAGTGGGAACCCTGCTGGCAGAAGAGACAGAGACCCTTTTCTCATCATTTTAGCGCTCGATGCAGCAGCCCAATAAAAGATATCACCAGCAAACACCTTGCAGAAGCTACCTGCAGCCAGGAGGAGCTAGGTCAAGGAGACTGCTCCTAGTCTTCGCCTTCCCGGGCTGGGAGTATGTCAAGGGGATGGTATACACATAGTCCAGTCACACGTAGGAGGTGTGGAGGGCACAGAGCATGTGCAGGGCAGTCAGTATACAGCTGCCAAGCTCTCTATTGACCAAGTGCAAGGGGAGGGTGGAGTTTTATTTCTTTTATAAAGCAAGGGTGTCAAACTCCCCCTATGTCCCAAGCCAGATCCAGACCATGGGGCTCCTTGCAGACCAAATCCAAGGGGCAAGCAATGAGGGCAGCAGTGCTGGGGGTAAATGCTTGTAGCCAAGCAGCCACAGGCCAACTGGCAGTGGTCCCAAGCAACAACAGGGCGAGATGTCAGCACAGCCCTCACTCCCCCACCTGATGCCAATGGCCATGTCCAACAATGCCCTGGAGTCTGCAGCAGGTCTCACTCCCTAATGGCCCCACCAACAAATTATCTGACCTGCCAGGAGCACCACGAGCCCGATGGAGTGACTCTGCAGGCCAGATCCAGCCAATAGTTCAGACATTTGACACCCATGTTTTAGGAATTGATGACTTGGCCAAATTTGGCCAAATTCTCACAGGAGTGTCCCAAGTGAATCCCAGAAGGTAGGGCAACCCCTTTGACAAACGTCAAGGTCTTTCTACCAAAAATGGAGGCCCCAAGCTTCTTCATGGAAGAAAGGAAGGATTATTTTAACATGGGGGGGGGGGGGGGGGGGGGAATCATCATTTTTTCCACAATTTAATTTCTGAAATGACTAAAAAAAAATTTGGTGGCAGGGGCCTGTCATGAAAAATTTCAGCTCAGACATTTAAAGATAGCAAAAATGGCAATGGAAAACAAAAACTCGTAACAGGAAGTATCATGCAACCTGAACACGACACCTCCTTTTCTCGGGTATTGCTACTACTACTTAGTGGTTTTGTAGCACTTTTCACAGGCACTCAGAGCACTTTAGAAATAAGACCAGTGTCATTATCACCACTGGACAGATGGGGAAACTGAGGCAGAGAAAGGAAAAGGGATAGATTTTCTCAAGATTACCCAGCAGGACAGTGACAGAGCTAGGGAAGGAACCCAAATCTATTGAATCCTATTCTAGGTTGCCACATGGCTTCAGGAAAGTCAGCAAACAGACTAGAGGTGATAATTAAATGAATAGGTGCAATGTGGTAAACTGGCTATTTGCAGAAATCCAAGTGCTTTCAATGGGGAAATTAGAAAAGAGAGACTTACTAGGATCCGAGGGTTTTATATCAGGTATAGGCCTCGAAATGCCTATAACCACCACTCATGTCTACTGCAACAACTAAAGCACAAGACAATGCAATCTTTGTGTAATACCCCAACTTCATACAGGCTCTCCCACTGCTTCTCAGTAGATAAGGACAATAATTAACTCTACTTTGCAGTACATCTGCAGTACTCCAGTGCAAATGGGGGTTAACTCGCACAGTTCTTTCAAATATACCTTATCTGCACCTGACACGATAGCTCTGTCAATTAGCCTGACGTGCACTGCACTATCTCATTCTTCATACATATTCATATACCCATGAGGGTTTTGTACATATTCATACACCTGTGAGGAGGGTGTAGGTCTCTCTCTGTGCATTGAAAAGCCATTT